TTGAGGGAGTACTTGAGTGGAGGCCCAATGTCCTTCTGCTACCTTAATACTAAACCTGTAAATATAGGTTCATAGATCTATTTCCCTCTCACGTTTATTTTCTGACAAATCTGGTAGTGCCAACATTTTTTGAGTGTTCTCTGGGCAGTGTTCTCTGAGAACTAGCTTGCTCCATTCATTGCAGCTCAGTGTAACATCTCCCAACTCCGTGCTTTCCCAGTCTACTAGGATACTGCCTATCTCACTCATCTCACTCAGGATGAGTCCTCTCTCTTCTTTCAGGGTTCTCGATGGATAGCACTGAGAAGAACAGGAATTCCAGAACAGTTCCTTGTGCTCGTGTGGAACCTGGACATGACTCAAAAGGCAGGTTCAAACAGAACCAGGGAATATGTATAATTTTAAATCCGGAAAGGCATGCACAGGGTAGTACTCTGTCACCATACGTATTCAATTTGTGTGCTAAGCAAATCATCTGAGAAGTTGGACCAAATGAAGAAAATGCAGCATCAGGATTGGAGGAAGGCTTATTAACAACCTGTGATATGCAGGTGATACAACCTAACTGGATGAAAGCCAGATGAACTTGAAGCATTTTCTGATGAAGATCAAGAATGAAAGCCTTCAATATAGATTATAACTAAATGTAAAACAAATCCAGAATCCTCACAACTGGACCGATCGGTAACATCATGATAACCAGGGAAAGGATTGACAATGTCAAAGATTTAACCTTGCTTGTATGTGCAATCAGTGCTCATGGAAACAGCAGTCAGGAGATCAAATGACGCATGGTAGTGGGTCAGTCTACTGCACAAGACCTCTTTAAAATGTTGAAGAGCATGGATGTCACTTTGAGGACTAAGGTGGGCCTTACCCAAGCCAAGGTATTTTCTTTTTTTTTTGGAAATCAATTATTTTATTTACACAGTAAGATTTATTTTAAAGTTATCTAAATATGAGACTTGCATTAAGTATAAATTACATATTTAGTGATTCATATCTGACTCCCAGCTGTGAACATTTAGCTGTAGAGGCAGCCCATGTTACATACCTAATTTGCCTATCTGTATTACAGTGGGATAATGACTTTTGTTTTAGTGGAAACAGAAGAGTATTTACATTCACCTCGTATACATGCGAAAGGTGGGCATTAAATAAGAAATGCTGAAGAAGGTTCAGTGCATTGAATTATGGTGCTGGTGAAGAATAGTCAAACTACAATGGTCTGCCCGAAGAACAAACAAACCTGTCTGGCCAGAATATCGCCAGAATGCTCAGAAGGGAGGACAGAGAGACTTGGTCGCATGTACTTTGGAGACATTATAGGAGAGACACGTCTCTGGAAAAGGACATCCTATTTGGTAGAGGGGCAGCAAAACAAAAAAAAGGAAGGTCCTTGACAAATTGCCCGTCACAATGGCTGCAACAATGGGCAGAAACAGAGCAGCGCTTGTGAGGCTAGTCCAGGCGGTGGGAAAAGCTGTTACTCCTTAGGCAAGCAGGACGGGACCACCACCTTCCACGGTTCGTGGCCTGTGGGAGAGAGCTGATGGCTCAGCCCTGGGAGCTGATGAAGCAATGGCTGCCCTGTCTCTCTGCCTGAGATAAACGGACGCTTTGCCCCTTGTTCCTTGCCAGGGGCTGCAGAAAGCAGCCACGCACAAAACTGATCAGTTACTTCATGTTCCCAGGCTCATCTTCCCCTCCTGTCTATGAGTAACTTGGCTAAAGTGTATACTCTTAAGGAATTGTACATTGTTCTCCTGTGTAAACCTATCAAGTGTTGTGGGCTGCATGCAGGGAAAGTGATTAAGCCTTCCTCTAATAAAGCTCTGGGCCCTGGAGTGTCTATACCGCAAGTTTTCTCCTGCCGATTGTACCCTCTCGAACCCCTTTGATTTGTAAGAGAAGAGCCGGTCCCTACATTATCTGACACAGAACCAGGCAGTGTTTCATTCTGGGGTACATAGAGTTGCTGAGTTGGCACCGACTTGATGGCACTCAACACCAAAAGCAACATAGAATCAGAAATTTGACTGAGGACACATTTGAGTTGTGGGGCTGGAGAGGAATATTGAAAGTACATGGACTGCTAAAAGGACAAACCAATCTGTTTTGGAAGAAAAGCAAGACCAGAGTGCTCCATCGAGGCAAGGATGGCAAGACTTCCTCTTACATACTTTGGACAGGTTGTCAGGAGAGACCAATCCTGGAAAGGAAGGGACATCATGTTTGGTAAGGTAGAGGGGCAGCGAAAAAGAGGGAGGCCCTCAGGGAGATGGATTGGCCTTGTGGCTGCAACAATGGCTCAAGCATCAGACCACTTGAGAGGGTGATGCAGGACAAGGCAGTATTTCCTTCTATTGTGCTGACAACAGCACACGGTATAGCAGAGTATAGAGTATAGGAAATCATCACTGAGGACATTTGTAAGCAATTCTGTAGTCACCAGAAGCTTCTGGAAACTGTCTTTGTCTTAGTTACCTCTACAAGTTAATATCTCCCTCTGTACTGGGTAGCACGCTGATGCTGAGGGAAGGTTGGCTTCCCAAAGCCAGCTGATATTCTGTTGCTTTGCCTGGCCTTCTCCTCTCTACACCCCTTAAAAAGCAGCTCACTTCTCCAACAGTTGTCCTCATGTCAGCTGCCATTCCATGGTGGGCACTTTTGTAACTAAATTCTCAAGAATGATGTTAGCAAAGTCATTTAAACATACATGGACTCGGCATGGCTATGATATCTACACTGACTATGTGACTACACCTTAGTCAGTGGTTCTCAACCTTCCTCATGCCGTGACCCTTTCATACAGTTCCTCATAACATTATTTTCATTGCTACTTCATAACTGTCATTTTGCTACTGTTATGAATCGGGCAACCCCTGTGAAAAGGTTGTTCAACCTCCAAAGGGGTTGTGACCCACAGGTTGAGAACCGCTGCCTTAGAGAGAAAAAGGGGGGTTGGGGCCTGTTTTGAAGTCCTTTGCCTTCATTGTTGTTGTTCATTGCCATGAAGTTGAACCCCATGCGCAGCAGAATGCAACACTGCCCAGCCCTGTGCCCTCCTCACGATTGTTCCCCTGTGGAAGCCCACTGCTGCTGCCCCTGTGTCAGCCCATCTTGGCTTCATTGCTTATGCCTTAATCATTCAGTCTGCAGTGTTCTTTCATAAGCTTAATACTGCTCTTAACTCAAATATGATACAAGGTTTGTATAAACCATATAGTCTTTTCCAGGTCAAGGTAGCCTTTGCAAATGATTACCTTTAAATGAAGCTGGTTTTTTTAGATACTTTGAAGTGTAGCATGGGCTTGGAATGTGACATTTCCAAATGTTTCACCACTGTGCGTTTCAATTGCATTTTAAAGGTATTTAACCTAGAGCATACGAAGAATTGAGTGTTCGCGTGTTAAATGACTACCAAACCCAAACACATTGCCATCCAGACAATTCTGACTCATAACAACCCTGCAGCACAAGGGAGAATTGCCCCTGTGGGTTCCTGAGATTGTAACCCTTAATGGACGTAGAAACCCTCATCTCATGTGGAGCAGCTGGTGGTTTTGAACTGTTAACCTTGTCGTTAGTAGCCCAACACATAACCTCCTACCCCACTAGGGCTTCCACAGATAATTATCTCAAGGGAGAAATTAATTTTGGTTTAATTTAAACTTAATCTGAAGAAAAGCAATCTGCCATATTAATCTTCAATAAGTTTATTAAGATGGATGTCCAGAACGTAGTCTAATTGCTTCCACACCTAGAAAAGAATGATTTGCGCGTCAAAATTAAGCATATTGGCAGGTCATCTTGTAAAAGTTTGGACGTAGAGTTAAAGTAAACTTACATTTCCACTTGAGATTCTTCCCTTAGCAGCCTTTATCTCATCTGCCAGTTATTTTACTTTATTGACTGCGCTAATTTATCCACCCGCTCTTTTTGGGAAAAAAAACAAGTGCGAGGGAAAAGGGCCACAGCATCATCACATTTCTATATGTGGCTCCCTAAACCAGATGGTGGTTTCTAATTAGAATACAAAAGATTCTGCCTGTGATGGTAGGCACCGCAGAAGGAGCGCACTCTCTTGAATTTCCCACAAGCCCACTTGGGAGAGAAACTGTGATCTGTAATTGTCCATCCACCAGAAGCTGATGAAGTTCCTGAGGCGCAAATGAAGTTGGTATTTTGAAGCTTGTAATTTAACTCTGCATGCGTGATCCTCCCAGTCAGTGACTTGACTGGATTTTTTTTTTTTTCACAGCAGCTTCAATATTTAGTTTCCCATGTAGCCTCTCAGCAGAGATTTCAAAGGATACTTTGCTGGGTGCTTGACTGCCTTGTCTATTTGCTCTTGTTTTGCATGCAAGAGAGAGCCAGAAGTCTTTCTTCTCATTGTGTACACATGGTATTAATGGATTTACTCTGCCTGGATCGTCTCATTACTGGAAACAGCTAGAAGCACAGAAGTCTTTCAGTGTATGCAAATAAGGCAGACTCATCTACCTGAGAGTTAATATTCTCTGCTTTTAAGTGTATTCTAAATCTAATGTTTGTATTTAGAGCACAACATCCTGTTCTCTCTCGCTTGCTCTTGCTCTCTCTCCCTCTCACTGGCTCTCTTTTTCATGGGCAAAAAGCTAAGCAGGCTCAGGCAGCTGTTTGATGTTGGCTTCAAGTGTTATTAATTTCATATTCTATTATTCTTTTCACTGTAGCACAAGTGAAGCTGATGTGGAGGCTGTCATGGATAAGTTGTTTGATGAGCTGGCTCAGAAACAAAATGATTGTACGTAAGTTAATTTCTCTTGAAAGAGAATACATTTAGAACACAATGCTCAATCTCCACTGACCAATTAATAAGTTCCATTGCTGTGTATGGGTTGACGCCACACTCAAGTGGCAGTCATTGTATCAGCATTTTGTCTAATTTATGTGTTGAATCATGTGCTATTATTCATCAAGCTATGCATTTCCTATCTGTAAGAGATGAATTTTATAGTAATTATCCAGACAAGATTGAGTCTTTGTTCATGTTCCCATAGTAACTAGACCAAGGATTCTGAAAGTACAAGGCAGAGAGCTGCGGCTGCATAAAGCCTGCGGAACCATTGCCGACTGCGCGTTTGAAGAGCTGTGCGAGAGAGTGAGTATCCCGCCCGTCAGACTCGTTGGCCTTTTCACGTGTTAAAACACCCCTCCTTCTCCTCTCAGGCCCGCTTCCGAGTTTAAAGCACTGTCCACAGAGGCATACCACGGCTCAGAAAGTCTCATTAAAGGGAAAATACTCGTTTGTGTCCGCCTGGTGGTTTTTACAGATACGGACCCAAAATCACACTCCGAGGGGCTCCAAGGCAGAGTGACAACCAGGGCACTGTCGACTGTTGCTGGAAGCAGCAGAACAATCAGGCTTAGGGAGACGGTGCAGAAGTCATGCAGACAGGAATTGGGGGGAAAAACCACTTGCAGAAAAACCAGTCTCTGCCAACGAGTCGATGCGGCCTCACGGCTCAGTATGCGGGACAGGCAGGGGGACGTGCGGCTACCAGGACCCAAGGAAGGAAACCGGTGGAGCTGCTGGGCCTCCTTCCTTCTACCTATTTGCTACTGCCGCACTAGCTGACCTCTTGGACCCACAGTCAAAGACAATGAGTTTCATTTAATGGCGATGCCTATATTATATGTTAAATACCGCATGCAGACAAGAAGCAAATGTCAATACAGACTTGTAATTGAGAAAGACTTGGACTGCAGATTCTTTATAGATATGAATTCTGCCCCATAAAAGATAGAAACTCCAGACAAGGTTTTTTTTTAAAAGCTCCTGTCCAGCTGTTTGCAAATCACTTTGTCTAGGAAATGAACTTGAGAAAACTCTCGTGGACCCCAAAGCTGAAGCGGCTGCCCCCGCACAGAAGGGGCCCATTTGGGGAAGGAGAATGGAGATGGGCAGGGTTTGAATGTGCGGAGGCCAAGACTTTCTCTTGGAGCAGATACTGAGCCTTTTCCTATTTTCAGCATGCTATTGGGGGAAACTTAGACTGGGAAAAGGTCGTGAGTGGGAAACCAATACTTCTAGTGTGAGGGGGTCAGGGAGAAGGTTGAAAATGTAATGAACATTTATAAAAGCAAGTCTTTTTACCTGGTTTGACCAAAATGCAGATTATAAAGGCAAGGATGAACTGAGTTCTTTTTTTAATTTAATTTATTTGGGCTCTGTAAAGTTTCCTTTATTGTGCTTTTTTTCCCCTTAAGTAACAATTTATTATTTTGTCAAGTAGCATTTAATATTTTTCTTTTTTTATCATTTTATTAGGGGCTCATACAACTCTTATCACAATCCATACATACATCAATTGTGTAAAGCGCATTTGTATATTCATTGCCCTCGTCATTCTCAAAATATTTCCTCTCCACTTAAGCCCCTGGCATTAGGTCCTCATTTTTCCCCTTCTTCCCCAGTCACCCCTCCCTCATGAGCCCTTGATAATTTATAAATTACTATTTTGTCATATCTTGCCCTGTCCAATGTCTCCCTTCACCCCCTTTTCTGTTGTCCGTCCCCCAGGGAGGAGGTCACATATAGATCCTTATAATCGGTTCCCTCTTTCCAACTGAATTCTTAGAATAAATATTGACCAGATCAGTGATTTGTTTTTTGGCATAATTTCCTTGATAAACTCGTAGGATAATAAAATATGGCATCCTTCACTTCTTTGTCTTTTGATGTTCAATCACCTCAAAAATAATTTTTAATGGAGTCATTGCTTTTTTCAAGTTATGGTCTGCAATTCCTCATCTGTCAGCGCACTAGAGCATTTCCCTTGAGGGGCACTGGCAGGGTCCGGGAGGGCTGCAAAAGCAGGTACCTCCTCTGGATCCAGCGCCGTCTGAGTGGGAGAGCGTTTTTCCCTTCGGTTGTTAGCCCGCAGGCCAGCCGTCCAAAAGCCCCAGCCACTCTGGGAGAACGAGGAGGCTTTCTACTTATTTAAAGATTTCGTTTCAGAAATCCACAGGGTCACTGTGGGTGGGAATCAAGTCAAAGGTTGTGAGTTTGAGTTTGACACTTACTCGAGTTTATAGACCATAATACACAAGTTTTCATGGCCAGGGGGCTACTAAGTATGTACATGTATATATATATTCCAGAAAAGGAAGCAGCAGGCCAAACAGGTTTGGGGATAGGTTATAGCCTATGGGTTTACCATGTTTCTACAGTGTCATTGTGAGATGCCTGAGCCATCAAACGCGGGCAATGGCTGCTAACGGACATTGCCCTGATGGGTGGGTGATCGGTAAGGGGAGTTGGAGGAAAGATCACGCGTTTTAAGCAGTCAGGTCATCTCATTAGGGTGGCTTTGCTGACATCTCAGGTGTTGAATACTTACGTGAAGAGGGACCTTGAAATCTCCCACTTCAGATAGCGTCTAAAGCTCTTACTTGGTGACAGTGATCTTAGGTGCGAGGCTAAGCAGCTGCCAGATGTTCTTCAGTTAAAGAACAAAACACCTTTGACCTGAGGGGCAGGAGTAAATACAGTGTTAGGCCGGTTCTCCTAGTGGACGGCCTGGCCTCCTGCTCTGGCAAGCTCTTGAAGCCTGAGATGCACCCAACACCATCCATGCCGGTGCCTCTGGGAAGCACCTCCGGCAGGGCGTGGATGAGGTCAAAGTCTGTGCCTATTATTTTTGAGCCATGGCCCTTCCTCCCCTCTCCCAAATTCATTTTTCTAAGTTTATAGATACATCAGAGAGAACTCCCCCAGTGTCCTAAAAGGCAACTCGGTGCTGTAGAATTGACTCCCACTCCAGCGACCCTACACGACGGGGTAGAACTGCCCTCTTGGGCTTCTGAGATGGTCAATCTTCATGGAAGTAGAAAGCCTCATCTTTCTTCTGTAGAGCAGCTGGTGGCTTTGAACTGCTGACCTTCTGGTTAGCAGCCCAGTGTGTAACTAATGCTCATAAGGTAACAGGGGCTTTTGATTGGAAGCCATCAGTGTTTGCCGTAAGTAAAACTAAAGAAACTTTTTGTGACATCCCTTTCTTTGCAAGCACCCTCTAGTCTCCCCTTCTGCCCACCACCCCCACTCTAGCTCCCATCACATTTCCTCTGCTAACATCAGCCTCTTGGTAGTTCCAGAAGTCTGTTTACTTGTAAATCTACAATTGAACACTGTCTTGCTCAGAGAAGCAGTTAGGTGGCCCTAGAACAAACAAACATCAAGTCGATCCAGACTCAGCAATGCTGCACAGGGTCTCTGATGCTGTAACTTCTCCCAGGGAGAGAAGCCTCCCCTCTCTCCCTTGGAGTGGCTGGTGGGTTTGAACTGCAAACCTTGCAGTTAGCAGTCCAACATGTAACTGACGGTGTCACCTTAGGAGACCCTGTATCACCTGTGTAATAAAAGTAGCTCACTTTGTCATGTACGGGGCCTCATTCGAAGTACTTTGTCAGTGCTAACTCATTTAATGTTTTTCACAGCATTGCTATTATTCCTTTGATGTCACGGGGACATTGAGGCACAGAGTTACCTTGTGCCTGTCCCAGGGTCACACAGTTACTAATTGTGGAGCCAGAGCTTGAACTCGTTGGTATTCTGGGTGTCCGATTCTGTCTTCTCAACCAGTACTCTGTATCTGAAGATCAAATCTACAGCCAGGCTGTCATTGCTGTGAGGTGTACCCGGCTTCCCTGTGTACAACCAAACCCGCTGCCATGGAGTCAGTGCTGACTCATGGCCACCCCCTGTGGGTCTCCGAGACTGTAACGGTTCATGGGAGTAGAAAGCCTAGTCTTTCTCCTGCGGAGCTGCTGGTGGTTTTGAACTGCCGACCACGTGTACAACAGTGCCTATTACAACATGAAATGTATGCAATACTGTTTGGTTCTCACCATCTTCCCAATTTTCTTATGTTTGAGTTTGTTACAGCCACTGTGTCGATCCATCTTGTTGGGGGTCTTCCTCTTCTTCTCTCTGCTCTACCGAGTAGGCATGATGTTCTTCTCCCGGGACTGGTATCTCCTGATGACATGTCCAAAGAGCATGAGATGAAGTCTCACCACCACCCAAGCCTGGAAGGAGCATTCAGAATGTACTTCTTCTGAGACAGATTTGTTTTTTGTTTTTTTGGCAGTCCATGGTACTTTCAATATTCTTCACCAGCACCATAATTCAAATGCGTGCATTCTTCTTCGGTCTTCCTTATTTAATGCCTAAGTATCGTGTGCATATGTGGTGATTGAAAATACCATAGCTTGGGTCCCAAGACAGAGAACATATAGGAGCTATCTTCAAAGTAATGTATTGCTTTTCAACACAGATTTACCCAATGCATTGTTTTATCTCTTGAATGCTGCTTCAATAATAAGCATTGATTGTGGATCCAAGAAAGATGAAATCCTTGAAAATTTCTGTTTTTTTCTCTGCTTCTCATGATGTTACCTCTTGGTCCAGTTAAGACTGTAGATTGACCTTGAGGCGCAATCAGAAGCTCTGGGAATTCCCACATAAGAGTTATAATTTGAGCCCTTTATGGAACATGAGGCTGGCTAGGTACCAGACACCATTGAGTCTGGAGAGCCTCACTCTGTGCTCAGAACCTTAGCACAGGACTGTCCAACTCCTGTGCTTTGGCATACCCCCAGGAATGAGTGTAGACACAGACCCCTCCGTCTTCCTGAAAGCGGTGCAGGGTCTGCACCTTCCGGCCATGGGCCTCAAACCTTACACAGCCTCAACCTTTTACCTTTAATAAAAAGTGTTATCGTTATGTCTCCATGACGGGAGAAGGGCTAGGAAGCAGTCTTAGCGAGCTGTGGGGCAGGTACTGGAGAGCAGCTTTGGGTAGCTAGCCCTTCTGGTCATCCCTCCAAATCTGGCCTTAGCTAAAGGAATATGATGAAGACTCATTTTATGCAGATATGACATGAGCTTTCATTTTTCCTTTCTTTATTTTGATAAAAGTGTCCTGGCTCCATTGGAGGGTGGTGGAGAAGTAAAAGATATGGTTATTTCTGTCAGTAGTTTTCATAGAATGACTTGGAGACCCTGAGGGATCCTTGAATTTCTTCATGTGTCCGTTAAGTCAAAACTCTGCACAACAAGAGAATATTATTCACCTTCGTTGTTGTGAGTTGTTTTTA